ACAATGCCATTTAGAAAGTGGCCAAATGTAACACATGTTATATTTGGGATAACACTTTCTAAGTAAAGTATAAATTCTTGTACTTTTGAGGGGTTGAGTTTCATCCGAGATTCGAACCCACACTCTCAGAGTGAGGCAGAGTGAATCACCCAAGGAACAATACTCTATACATAGCAAGCAACTATAACCAAATAGTAGGTCGACTGGATGAGAATAATGGTAGCATAGAACAGGGAATTGCTGTGGACGATCTCATTTATAACTATCATTACTTACTAGTATATAATTATCATTACTTTCTTATATATAATTATCATTAACTTTTTACATATAATTATCATTACAAACTAATATATAATTAACATAACCTTCTTACATATAATCAACATTATTTTTTTCTATACAATTATCATTACTTACAAATATATAATTATCATTATCAATATATAATTATCATTACTTTCTTGTATATGATTATCATTACTTTCTTGTATGTAATTAACATTACTTTCTATTATATAGATATTACTTACTAATCTATACTTAACGTTTCTTACTAACATTGAAAAAATTATCTATGGCCATAACACTGTCAACTTTGCAAATGCCATCTGAATTTAACTGAGAAAACGATAATGTGTAACGCCGGACTTCTTATTGATGACAACTGTGTGACATTTCGCTATGCATATGAATCGGAATTTCTGCTCGGATTGACAAAATCAAAACAAGAGAATTTGGGCAAGAGTAACCTTAGGCTCCGGGTGTATCGCTGATCTGCTGTCCCTTCCACTGATTTACCCACCCGAACTAGAAATAAAAGAGAACAGTGAAACTTTGGAGGTACACTTGAGTATGATCTTTCATAAACACATGCTCGTCATATGGACAAAATCGACAGTGGACTCTGCTTTTGGCAGAGATTTTGATGATGGAAATGTCTTTGTAGCTTTTATTCAACGTGTAATGACACTTGGTACACGTGTAGTTTGTATTGGAGCTCAACATGTGTGTTCCGTTTTTTGTGATATTTTGAATTTTTACCTCTTTTTTTTTTTACCTTTGTAATATGCCTCGAAATTATCTCAAATTTGCAATGCTTTGCACTGTAAACATCATCTTCTCAGAAACACTGAAAATTCACATTCTTGTTCCAACCAATCAGGACACCGAATTTGCTCAACAGTTTTGAATCCACATGGACGCCATATTGAAAGAGCTTTTATAGGTCATTACTCGGGCAGTTTTGTTCCAAGTGTAATGAGATTTGGTATTTGGATTTGCGTAGTTTTGTAAAAGTTTGGTTCAACCTGTATGTTTCGGGGTTTGTTTGCATTTTTCAGATATTTTACATTTTGACTTTGATTTGATCTTTTCACTTGAGCTGAAACTACCTTGAAACTTGGTATATGTGTTTAAGCTGGCATGCCGTGATATAACTGGAATAAAAGCTGCGTTAAACTCAACTCATTCACTCTATAGCCTGCATTGCTTAGTCGTTAATAAAGCTGCATTTACTTAAAGTAAGATAGCAACATCATATTTTTACTTGGATTAATATATACTGAACCAAATTAAAAACTTCACAATCCTAAAATTTTAACATTTTGACCAGTTATCATTGTGGGCCCTTATTGTGTATTTAAACAGTAATGGCCGCGTATTGTCTTCAGATAACACCCGTTTTTGTGCAGGTGAATCGATCAAAATCATGTGCACAGCACTATAGTGGCAAAAGTGTTTTTTCACGTGCAACTGGTCACGTGGCCATAATACGCACGTGTTTTCAGCCATACTTGTTAGCAGTCATAAACAAAAAAAAGAAAAACACAAGAAAACAAAAGTCTTTACGGCCATTTGTCATGCCACGCCTTTCAAATGTGCAACGTGAACGTGCCATCAGCATGTTGCAGACGGGAACGTCCGTAGCTGAAGTCGCAAGGACGATGGGTTATAGTCGACGGACTGTCTATGATGTACAGACGCGTCTACAGCAAACGGGTACCACCGCTGATCGCCCTCGGCCAGGTCGACCACGTGTGACGTCACATGCAGAGGATACGTCACCTCCGTAACCGATTTTTGACGGCTACATCAACCAGAAATGAACTGTTTAGGGGTAGACTGAGTGCGCAAACTGTTCGAAACCGTCTGGGAAATGCTCACCTTCAAGCACGACGGCCATACTGCGGGCCGATTCTGACTCAATTACACAGACGTCAACGTCAATTGTGGGCACAGCGACACTTACGATGGACTCAGAGGAATTGGAATCAAGTCGTCTTCAGTGATGAATCCCAATTTAATCTTCGATTTGCTGATGGTAGGGCGAGGGTGTGGAGGCGCCGTCATGAACGTTACGCCCAGTGTTGTGTACAGGAAGTTGACAGATTTGGAGGCGGAAGTGTCATGGTGTGGGGTGCTTTCTGTGGCAATGCACGTTCCAGGCTTCCTGTCATCCGTGGCAACCTCAACGCTGCTGCTTACCGCGACCAGGTACTGGCACCAGAACTTCTGCCTTTTATGGCAGCACATGGACCGGGTTTGATCTTCCAACACGACAATGCCAGACCCCACACAGCAATTTTGACAAGGAATTTCCTTCAGAATGCGGGAGTCAACGTCATGGACCTTGTTTCCATCACATTTGTCAACCCCACCTCTCTTAAGACAATCCAGAGTGACCTTGTTTCTAGGAATTTATAACACCTCGCCCCCCTTCTTCGAAGACAATCCAGATTGACCTTGTTTCCATCACATTTGTCAACCCCACTTCTCTTAAGACAATCCAGAGTGACCTTGTTTCTAGGACATTTATAACACCTCGCCCCCCTTCTTCGAAGACAATCCAGATTGACCTTGTGTTCAGGACATTTGTAATCCTCCTTCTCTACAGTTAGTCCAGATTAACCTTCTGTCCCGAATATTTGAAAAGCCTCCAAATTTTTTTTTCAATTTGTGTGCAGAAAAAGAACCATCATTGCTTTCACCTATACTTCACTGTTACAATAAGCTTAGGTGAAATGGGATTTAAGGTTTTCTTCAGGATTATGGCACTTCTGTCGTGACATGCATGCCTGTGTGGATGCTTGTACTAGTCCGGAATAGCACATGTTTTATAGTGCTCGCCCACAGAGATACAATACTGCAGTTAACATTGATACCCCACTCAGACAAAGTATATACACGGACTCTGACTGTATCCCCTTAATGCCAAGCGCCAGGCAGGGTAAAAGGAAGCAACACTTTTTATCTTGGTATGACACAGCCAGGGATTCACATGACAAGGTTGTTTTATCAATAAAGCATTCCAATGGAATTTTCAAAATTTAAAGTGCCCATAGTCACAATGTCCTTAAGACAGTGTGTGCTCAGTTTGATGAAGATATCTTTAAAGTTTTGTTTTAGTTGAGCTCTTGAAAAAACTCTAATCATGAAAAAAAAAATATCTAAAAATGCTGAAAGCAACAACAGGATCATGTGGTAACTAAGTGTGCAAATATAGCAATGTTTTACATGTCTGGAATGTTTTTTAACTCTAGTTTTGCTTTCAGTCTTAGTTCATCTCTATTGCATTCAATAAAGAAGGAAAATCCTCACAACCTAAAGAACTGTTAACTATAGCCTACATGACTTGCCAGTATACACAAACATAAATATAGCATCAAAACATGTGCTTGCTTCGTGATCAAGAGTTGCTTCCCTTAGTTCCTACAGGTACCAAGCCAATGAGGTGATCAAGAGTTGCTTCCCTTAGTTCCTACAGGGTACCAAGCCAATGAGGTGATAAAGAGTTGCTTCCCTTAGTTCTTACAGGGTACCAAGCCAATGAGGTGATAAAGAGTTGCTTCCCTCAGTTCCTACAGGGTACCAAGCCAATGAGGTGATCAAGAGTTGCTTCCCTTAGTTCTTACACAGTACCAAGCCAGTGAGGGGAGTGGGCTTCAACTTCTGACAGTAATTCTGCCCATTAGTTTTGAACACAGACATTTGGCGAGACTGACAAACATGGTCTACAAAAAAATGGGATTAAAAGACCAGAAATCTCCTGGACAATTAACTGCGCTTTCTTGAAAAGCATCTTTTTTTCCTATTTCAAATTTTTAAAAACATGCCTTTGGCGAAATGGATACCATGTTAATTAAAGGTGTAACAGTATTTTTCAGAAAAACTACCATAAAGTTAGGTTTTCTTCTCCACTCTGCTAACCAGGCGAGTTCAGTTATCATGGAGTGCGTGAGTGAATTGGGTTTAACACCGCTTTTAACAGTATTCCACTTATATCATGGCATGGCATCTTAATGTGGGTGGAAAGCCTGAAGTAATGCAGGTCTCAGACGTTTACCACTTCGGTGAAACCCACGAGCACGGGTATGGTGCTGACAAACCTAGAAACATAATCGGGGCGAACTGGGATTTGAACCCACAACCAAAGGTTTCTGGCATTTCCAAGGGATGCAACTCTGCACCCCTCCCAGTTATCATAGAAGCATGTGATGTCCTCGCATTCTAGTTGACATCATGTCTGTCTCACAACTGCGAAAGTACAAAAAGAAAGAGAGTGCTTCACAAATTGACTGATAACTTTATAATGTCGATAAACATAACATTTTTCAGATTTGTGGGTTTTAATGAGTATTCATGATGCTCAGAAATTTTAACAAATTGAAACGTTTTGCCAACACTGTCGGTTACTAATGAAATTTCTGGACATCAAGTACTCAAGAAAACCTACAAATCTGAAAACATATAATGTCTTTCTCCTAAGTTTATGACATAGCAAATTGCTTCAAGCGAGATCTTAATATTCCTCCTTCAAATCTCTGTAGTTCTTATTGCGATAAAAGTCAAAAGTTCTACAAGTGTAACCAAATAACATACTTTGTTACTTTACGTGGGTCAACATGGAATCTTATTGTATCCTTGTCCCGTCAATGTCTGCATTACTGCATCCCCGTATCAGTCTACCATGACTTACTGAATGAAAACAAACAAAAGCATAGAATCTAGCATTTATCCAGGCCTCTTGCATGCAGTTACTCCACAAACATATTATGTACAAACAGACACACCTACCACTGATGATCACGTTACACATACAAGCAATCAAACCTACCACTGGTGATCACGTTATATCCTCAACAGTAACTGATCATATTCATTTTGTTCATATCTTCATTTAATAGAAGCATGCAACTAAAAACTCTTTTCCTATTCCTTGAAGTGGTACAGTGCACTGGTGTTCAATTAGGTTGAAGATAAACCCCATGGTGTTTCTAAACATTTCGATTTTTACCCTTAAACAAATTTCAAACTAAGAATCTGCCATGAATGCTTTGTCATACAATTTTAATGTCTGGTTCTTTTCATTTACAATTAAAGATGTATATCAGTTCATCCTTAGACAAGTGTGGGTTTTCTAAAGTCCAGAGGCCTAGTGTAAACCTTATTTCCCCTGTCCACAGAATTTGAAGCTAGTCATGCTTGAACAAGAAAATAATGGTTACTATGTTTACATTTTCTTTCAGTAATATTTTATTTCCAACTTGTAGCACAATCGAAGGCATTAAACTCAGGTTCAGGATTATAGAAAGTCACTCTTGATGCACACACCTCATACACAGTGAGTCTGTCATCTGACACTGTGAGTCTCTATTGATGTACCCTACAGCATGTGCTGTCATCACCTCTTTCTCCTTGCTGTCTTCGTTGTCATGGGGGCTGCCTCATTCTTCTTGGGATCTTTGTCTATACATATTTGGTTTAATCGGTCAAGAATTTCTAATGTAGTAAGATTTCCTGTTTTGAAGAGCAGTTTCTGACCATCAGCTGAAACATTGTCAGAGAAATAAGATTCAACAGCTATTTTTTTCACTGTACATTAATCATGTTGTCACCTTCAACCTTAAATATTTTTTTTAATTTGAAGTTTACATGATAAACAGTTTTTCAATTGGACAAGAGGTCGGTCACCTGACCGCGAAAGACAAGACAATTTGACGTTCATATGTTTTTTCACGAGACTGTGTTCTTGAAATGACGTAAACACTGACAGACTACTTCCACATTCCTGGGGTACACTCTAGGAATTCCCTGGCATGAATACGTACAGAAATGTACTTTCTGATCATTTAGACCCTTTAATCTTGAACTCAACGTTTTAGTATACATTGAGAATCGTCACAATCATTTGCGAAATCCTCACTAAGACCCATCAAAATGGGTAGATCAAAACGAAGAAATGCACATCCAAACTATGGTAGTATCGACTCGATCCTTGTTTAGAGTGACAGTGACAGTCCACAGCAATCTATGAGTTTACCTTAGTGTCTATTTGACACATCTTTAATCACCTTTCAATGATCGGCCAATTGATCAATGATGACTAAAACATGTAACCGCCATGGGTTCATTAGCAAATCCCGAAATGTCTCCCGTCACGGCCATTTGGATGTCTTGTACTTGATGTAAATGTATTACGACTTGCTGTCATTATGACTGACTTACTGATGTATTTCTTAACAGACCTTCCTCATCTAATAATGATATTATTTGAATACATGTGTTTCTGAAGAGCAAGTTGTGGATCCATACGCTCATGTCACCTGTCTTTTTGAGGAACTATTTTATTCCGGGACATAGCTGGTTGTTGTATGGCTGTCAGTGTAAACATGAAGTTACACATACTAAATAAAATTGTGTATAGATCTTGGCCTACATCCTTTGAGGTAAGAAATTGTGATAAAAAATTACAAGAATAGACTTTCACTTTGTGTGAGTTCATTGGAGTATGAACCTTCATAGATGGAGGGCCAAACTATGAAGGTTCGGAGACATTTCTGAACTAACCCTGTGTACCAAATGAATAAAAAGTCATCTTTACTGGATGAAGATGAAGGAGAGGAGGATGATATCACGAAGAAACTATCATTTCTTTCGGAAAACCTTTTCTGAATCCTTTGTCTTTTTCATCAGATTCATCAACTGTTTCCCATCCCCTCAAAGCAATAACATGTTTACATGTCGATAACTATCATATTAAAAAGAAAACAGACAATAAAATATCAATGGCGAATAAAATTACCATTTGAGGTGACACCATTATCAACAATATCAATGGCCAGTTTATTATCTTGACTTACAATGAGCCTAAAAAACATTTAAAATGCTGTGGTAGATTGCAAGAAGAAACAAAAATAATATTTCAAAAGGTTTATGCATGGAGTATGTGAAATTTAGCTCAGCATCCGTCATCATGGATTTATGAACAACAAATTTGTAAAACAAGACATTAAACTGGTCTGGTCAAAGATTATGTTTCTTACAAAAGTTTATGTCTATGCGAGGATCAGATCTGTCCGACTTGATGTCCAGTTTCATATTGACATTCTCATTAGTTGAGATCAATTTGGGCGACTGCAACTGAAATAATACCTCTCTGAAAAATAGACATGGCAAACTGTTAATGGTAATCATTACAACAAAAAGGGTAGGGTGGTTGCAATTGGATCTTTTAAAACCTAGTCTCCTGCATGCCTTGAAGCAGGTTGACTAATAACATCTACATTACATGAAATGGAATTGGTTTGGCCTTAAAATCATACTTATGGAAGTGTAGCTTAAAAACATTTCTGAGTCCTTGGATTTTAACCCCAGACCTTCTAATTCAGGTTCAGAGTTAATCTGACACCTAAAACGATAATATTCCCAAAGTTGTTGCAGTTCACTTGCACTTGGTAGCAGCCATGTAGATATTCATTGCATTTAAAAAACAATCAGTGTAAAAGTAAAAGGGGTGGTGTTGGGGGTTAGTATGACAACTGTAAATGATCCTTTCAAATAGGTTTGTTTGCTTGTTGTTTTATGTCACAATCAGCAATATTCCAGCTTTATGACGACGGTCTGTCAATAATTGAGTCTAGACCAGGCAATCCAGTGATTGATATCAGCCGCAACGATCCACATAATTGGGATACAATGACATGCATCAACCAAGTCAGCGAGCCTGACCATCCGATCCCATTAGTTGCCTCTTACAACAAGCATAGTCGCTTTTTACCTTTCAAATAGGAAATGATGATAAAATGATTGATGGAAAATAGTAAGCACTATCCCAATAATCAGTTTGGAAAGAAGAAATTGGATATTTTGGATATTCTGTCCATGTATTATCATTACTAATGACAGTATTGAGACTAACGAGGTAATTTTGCCCGGAATTTGGACTTATTGCATGAATTATTCAACACAATGCCGTGTTCATCAGCTGATCACCGTTACACCTCACATCTATATTGGCTCATTAGTATAAATGACTCTATTGTCGAGGGAAGTGTATTCGTTTCAAGTTTTCACTATTTTTAACAAACATAAAATCATTCGACATAAGCAGCTGACAAGTGTCTCTTACTGAACTACTTCTCGTGGACTGTTTCACCACTTCCATCAATACACGTGATAAACATGATAAAAGCAGTAAGACTTTAGTGTGCAAAGTGGGACAAGTAAATCAGATTTTCCTGTAACAAACTAATAAATTCGGAATTCTGTTTTCATTCATTTTCATTTATTTGATTATATAAATACCTGATTGACCGGACGTTATCTTTATACGGATCAAAAGTAAATTTCATATCTTTCACAGGCCTAAACTGCAAATTCCTCAAAATCTTTCCTATAGATCGGTTTGCCATGATGTTTTTGGTTTTCCGTGCGGTAAAAGAGAAACGGTTCCTGGTTGGACAATTACGAATATCACGCCCAATACATTTCTCCGTTAGAAACAGTTAGGGCGATATTTAAACTGGTTTTGTTATTGGCTTCATTCTGACCAATCGCACGCTGTCTTACAACGCCTAATGGATGCTCTTGCATCGATCGTGTCTTCTTGTCGTAGACATCTGAATTTAGATTTTTTGTGGGGAACAGTAAGTCGAGGCAGAACAATCAGTGTAAGTATTGTAAAGGAAGATCAAAACAAGTTAACGTTCACGTTTAACCGTATATCCGTTATTTTAATCTTTTCTGACAGAAGAAAAGTGTACGTTTTTGTGTCGCAACGACAGCCATATTTGACCTGGTTGGTCATAATAGCGCGCCACCTGTGTACATAACCACTGGCGATATGGGCCACGATGTGTTGAAATGTCATGTCCCATATGTTCATACGACCAAACAACGTTTACAACGTCCGAAGTACATATACTGGTCACAACTATAGCGTTGATATATGGAAGTTTAATCAGACATTTATTCGTTATAGTGGAATCAAAAAGGTAAACAAATTAGCCAAGCTGTGCCTGTCGTTTTGGACATGTTGTTACAAGGCAATTTTCAATGGCTCTTTGTATTTTCATTGTGATTTGGATACGAATTAGATGATTTACAACATGAGAAGTTGTCGATCACACTAATTATCATTTCCCAACCTTAAAAAAATATGTAGGCCTATGAACAATATTCATTAGGCTACTTATAACATCCTTAAGTTATCATGATTATTCAGATGCTATTCCAAATCAATGAAATTTGCCACAATCAGATACTGACATATTTCAAAGTAAAAGAGATGTTTCTTTTTCCCTAACCAATATGCGCATACACATATGCCCATATACATATACTGTTTATACCTATGTTGTTTAATGCCACAATCAGCAATTTTCCTGCTATATGACTTCAGTCTGTACACAAATGAGCCTGGACCAGACAATCCTGTAATTGACATCTGATCATGAGCATCGATCTACACAACTAGGATACAATGACATGCATCAACCAAGTCAGCAAGTCTGATGACCCGATCCTGTTCTTCACCTCTTATGACAAGCATAGTCGCCTTTTACGACAAGCATTAGTTGCTGCAGACTTATTCGAATCCAGACCTTCATGGGTGCTGTTTACATATACATGATATATTGTATATGTAATGTAGGACTCAGATCTATTGCGGGACTCTGAGTATTATGCCAATATCTGCCCTTTTTCGTGGAATCTGTCATAGATCTGAGACTGTGACATGGATCAGAGTCCTACCATAGATCTGAGTTCTACATATGTACTACTCAAAAGAAGCTAAAGAACACCTGATTCTTTCATGTTACTGTTAGACAGCCTGTGGTCTTGTGGTAGAGTATTGCTCGGAGAGCAGAAGCATGGGGTATCCTCGGCCTTGCCATACCAGAAGACGTCAAATGATGGTACTTGTTACCCTGCCTGGCACCAGTATTAAGGGGATAAAACAAGGACTGTCCGGCTCGGAGTCCTTACATTGTGTCTGAGTGGGGTATTCATGTTTAACTGCAGCATGGTATATCAGTTGCCTAGCACTATAAAATCTGCATTAGTCAGGACTGGTACAAGCAGCTATATATCTTGTGATTGGGGGCTCCCACAGTTGGTATTCATCAAGCTTAAGGGAGAGAGGGTTACAGCCGTGTCATTGGGCGTCAACCTCATCAGCTGTAAACACCAGTGGACAGAACAAGATTAACTGATAATAACAAGCTAGAATCTGGCTTGTGAGCTTTGGAGAGGTTAGAGCTGAGGCAATCTAGACTTTTCAAATCATTTTAGATTTATGTTGGACTCCTTTTTTTCTCATTTTACTGTTGTTACTCAGCAGAACTTTACTATCTGATCCTTAGGGTGAACACTGACAGTATCACTGTCAAACCGAAATAAGTAGAAGCCCTCTCTTGGTTACACTTATACATCAGGGGTGAAGAAAAGTTCACTTATCCTCAGGCACAGTCATTTTGAACAGGAGTTAATTATTGCCTTCCTTTTCACATATAAGCACATTTCTTGCAAACTCGCACCTTCAGATTGGGAATATACGTGACTTGATACTTTCACACCTGAATAGCTACATTCTGCTTAAACTACCCATATCCTCTCACTAATAATATTGTTTTAATTTTGGCCACTACTTGAGATGTCTCACTGAATGTTGTCATGGAAGGAAATACCACATATTGTGGTAAATGAGAAATGTAAATGTAATATATATTGAACGGTTGTTTGTAAACAGATATCTTCAGGGATCTATCTGGTATCTTTAACTAAGTGCCCATAGCAGACAACTTTAGGGATGTCACCTGGTTTGGGATTAACAATTTGGAAATCGTACCATTGTTTGCTGCAGACTTTATGCTGAGCATCTTTCCCTGAAAATGCAGCGTTAAGTCACTGAACCTAAATGCAAAATTCTTCATGTCTTACATACATTGCCTGGTGCTAGGTTTTGTTTGTTTGTTTGTTCGTTGTTTATTGCCACACTCAGAAATATTCCAGCTATGTGACGTCAGTCTGTAAGTAATCGAGTCTGGACCAGACAATCCAGCATTGATTCACTCAATTGGGATCGATGACGTGCATCAACCAAGTCAGTGAGCCTGACCACCCAAACCCGTAAGTCGCCCCTAACGACAAGCATAGTCACCTTTTACAGCAAGCATGGGTTGCTGAAGACCTATTCTTGTGGGGAGAAACAAGGACTGGACGGACAAGTCGGAAACATTGTTTGATTATCAATTTACAAAAGAAAAAAAATGTTGAAATTAATAAATTTACGGCTATACAAAGCATGCATGAGTGTTTGCCAAGAGCAAAGCATTGGGACATTGGCACAGATTGTTATGCGTGCTGTGAAATCCCACAAAAATCGCACACATGGGACATGGTACAAATATTGAAAATACATTACAATATAGTTCATGTGATGTTCAGACTCAATATATATGATCAATAAAATAAGATACAATTCCATAAACATTGCTGTGATTGATATTGTAATCAAGACTGTTTCCTAGCTTGCTAGTTGCCTGTATCTAAACCAGTTAAGAGAAATTTATGCTAAAACATTTCCTTATACCTTTGTACTTTTATCTCAAACCTTCTCCTATTTCCAAATCTGTTGTTGAATAGTTTATCAGTTTTTTGGAATATTTATATGTTATACCTTAATGTCATCAACAATTATACATTTCTTTTCTTATTCATTAGTGGTTATTTTGTCTTGCAGAATAACGCAAATATATATCAGTAAATTCTTTGTGGGATATTACATCCAACTGTCTATCAGCGTCATTATACCACAATGTGAGGCTTTCAAATGAAACAGTTCCATACCATATTATTAAATATGTTTGACAACAAAAATCAAATAATCACATCATCCTACAAGTGCTAAATTCAGTGATTGAAATTTAGGGGGTCTGGGATCTTTGAGGCTTGCTTTATGCCTGGATTTGTAACTGTCTTAACACTGTCATTGATGCAATTAGAGTGAGTTTCTGTACTTGGTATGTTCTGAACTGAAATATAACATTTGAAACCTGTTGTTGTCACTCATGTGTTTGGGTTCCAAGTATGATTTTGTACCATCAAATCAGCTTTTAACATAGATCTCCACTGAAAAAATAGGATGTTTGTCTCCTAATTCACTGACATTATTATTTAGTTATAAGGTCTGTCTGCTAAGTTGCCATACAACTTGAATAATGTCCATGCAGCATTAAATAAAATCTCATTGCCAGGCATTTTGACCATTATTATGAATAAAAAACATTTTACAGTGTCCTAAACATATACTGCCTGCCGCCTGCACAAGGCAGGTATCTTTTCTCTTAGGCTGCATGAAATCTCTTCCACCTGCCCGACTATCTGGCAGATAAATTTAAGACTACTTATGTGTTCAGTTTTATTGTAAATTCTCCTTGTAGATTCTCATGTACCGTATTCAACGTAATAAGCGCCCAGGGTGCTCTCAAAATTAGAAATAGGGGGCGCTTATTAGAATATTATTTTGAGTTGAAAGGTCCTAAATTTCGTGGTTTATGCTAACAGCCTGAAATGTTTACATACGACATATATTTTTCAAGAATTTGATTGCCCATAATTAAGGGTGATATAACACACGAGTGCGTATTATACACGGATAAATAAGTCTTGTGTACATTGATCAATCGGAAGGGGTGCTGATTGGGATTGTTCACTGGCCAATATATTAGCAAATTTCGCCGTGGGCGCTAATTAGAGCGGGGCTCTTATTACGTCGAATATGGTAATTGTCTGCATCATTTCAACTGAATGAAGACGTAATTTTACTCTTGTTTTTTATGATTTTTCAATATTTATTATTCTTGGATGCGGGCTGGTAATCTCGAACATGGGCAGGCAACACTTATGGGTCACCAACCTGACTGTCTTGTTGGGTTTAAAAATTATTTCAAACACTGATCACACAACAGAAGATATTTGTCACTTAAGTTTAAAATTAAGTATTATTTCATGATAAGACATGAATATGAAGAGACAACATGAACCCATTAGACAGGTTTGAGGAGTCATGCATGATGATGGAGACAGTGAATGCAAAGAACAGTCACTACACATGCTCAAATGTTCATTACAAACTTGTTATCCAGATCATTGTTTCTTATAATTATCATAATCAACATCACCAAGAGTGTGTAAAGCTGCCCGATAGGGTAATTTATCACAGTACACAGTGCTGATGGCACCTTTGTTCTTTTAGCAAAGCATGTTAAAATATGTTCTGAAATTTCAGATGCCACGATCACGAAGAAAGAGGACCAGAAGTAGAGATTCCAGTTATGATGATGATTATCGTCACAAGAGAAGGAGAAATGATTATTATGATGATGATCACTATGATGCCAGACATTCCAGAAGGTGGGTACATTACTCAGCCATTTGACCTTGGCCTTTTC